TGCCCATTACTGTTTTATATTGTCTCACAATATAGACAAAGTGAAAAGTTCAGGCTTGTTTTGCTTTAGCAGTGGTTCTCAACCTTCCTAATGCCACGACCCTTTAATACGCTTCCTCATGTTATGGTGACCCCCCTCAACCATAAAATTAGTTTAATTGCTACTTCATAAATGTCATTTTGCTGCTGTTATGAATAGTAATGTAAATATTTGATATGCAAGATGTATTTTCATACACTGGACCAAATTTGGCACAAAGACCCAATACACCCAAAGTTAAATAGTGGTGGGATTGGGGGAGGGTATTGATTTTGTCCTGTAGGAGTTGTAGTTGCTGGGATTTATAGTTAACCTACAATCAAAGAGCATTCTGAACTCCACCAATGATGGAACTGAATCAAACTCGGCACACATAACTCCCACGACCATGAGAAAATACTGGAAAGGTTTGATGGCATTGACCTTGAGTTTTGGAGTTGTAGTTCACCTACATCCAGAGAGCACCGTGGACTCAAACAATTATGGATCTGGACCAAACTTGGCACGAATTCCCAATATGTCCAAATGTAAACACTAGTGGGGTTTGGGGAAAATAGACCTTGACATTTGTGAGTTGTAGTTGCTGGGATTTATAGTTCACCTAAAATCAAAGAGCATTCTGAACCCTGCCAACGATTGAATTGGGCCAAACTTCCCACACAGAACCTCCATGACCAACAGAAAATACTGTGTTTTCTTGTGGTCTTTGGTGACCCCTCTGACACTCCCTCGTGACCCCTACAGGGGTCCCGACCCCCAGGTTGAGAAACACTGCTTTAAGGGTTCATCTACACTGTTGAATTAACACAGTTTGACACCACTTTAACTGCCACAGCTCAGTGCTATGGAACCCTGGGCGTTGTAGTTTTACAAGGCCTCTGTGCATGGGGGAAACACCCAACAACAACCTAAATATATTGTCGAAGGCTTTCATGGCTGAAATCACTGGGTTGTTGTAGGATTTTTTTGGGTTTTATGCCTATGTTCTAGAAGCATTACCTCCTAACATTTCACCTGCGTCTGTGGCAAGCAACCTCTGAGGATGCTTGCCACAGATGCAGGCAAAACGTCAGGAGAGAATGCTTCTCAAACATGAGGTTCTTGTGGGTTTTTTCGGGCTATAGAGCCATGTTCTAGAGGCATTTCTCCTGACGTTTCGCCTGCTTCTATGGCAAGCATCCTCAGAGGTTGAGGTCTGTTGGAAGTAGGAAAAATGGGTTTATATATCTGTGGAATGGCTGGGGTGGGGCAAGGAGCTCTTCCCTGCTGCTAGGTGTGAATGTTAGCTGACCACCTTCATTAGCATTTGAAGGCCTGCTGAGCCTGGGAAAATCCCCTGTTGGGAGGTGCTGGGAGGTGTAACAGATTTTCCCAGACTCAGGCAGGCCTTCAAATGCTAATAGGTGATCAGCTAAACATTCACACCTAACTGCAGCAGGGAAGAGCTCCTTGCCCCACCCCAGCCATTCCACAGATATATAAACCCATTTTTCCTACTTCCAACAGACTCACAACCTCTGAGGATGCTTGCCATAGATGCAGGCGAAACGTCAGGAGAAATGCCTCTAGAACATGGCTCTATAGCCCAAAAACCACAAGAACCTAGTGATTCCAGCCATGAAAGCCTTCGACAATACATCTTCTCAAACATGGCCATTCAGCCCGAAAAGCGTACAACAACCGACAACCTAAATAAATAATAATTTGCCAGCCTGTCATGACACCCGAAATCAAATGCTTGATGCAGATTACTTTGCCTAAAGGTAAATCCAACCCCCGACAAGTTCCAAGGAAATCAATCCAAGTGGATTATTACCGCATTTACACCAATGGGAAGCACTTCTGAGAATCCATTTGCAGATGAATCTGAATTACTGGAGAGCAGATAACATTAAGTCTACCTCCAGGACTCGAGCCAGCCTGCTATTTTGGCACGAGATGCTCAAGCAGCATTTGCATTTCCAGCGCTTGCAAACCAAAGGAGTGTGCTGCATTGATCATAATGTGGATCCTGTTTTGAAATGGCTTTTAAAAATTGCATTCACTCCAATGGGATGTTCTGCGGACTCCAGCTTTCGGATTATATACACCTATATCCAGCCACACAGTACACTCTGTATGAATTGATATTCAGAGTAAAGGGAATTGTCCAGCAAACCTTAAGGTAAAGGTAAAGGTAGTCCCCTGACATTAAGTCCAGTCATGTCTGACTCTGGGGTGTGGTGCTCATCTCCATTTCTAAGCCGAAGAGCCAGCGTTGTCCATAGACACCTCCAAGGTCATGTGGCCGGCATGACTGCATGGAGCGCCGTTACCTTCCCACCGGAGCGGTACCTATTGATCTACTCACATTTGCATGTTTTCGAACTGCTAGGTTGGCAGAAGCTAGGGCTGACAGCGGAAGCTCATGCCGCTCCCCAGAATCGAACCTGCGACCTTTCGATCAACAAGCTCAGCAGCTCAGTGCTTTAACCCACTGCGCCACCGGGGGCTCCTCCAGCAAACCTTATTTTATTTCATTTGTTTGCTTTTAGCTTTAAGCATTGCTTAGATACTTTACTTTACTTTCGGGATTATCAATCCCAAATTCCCCAAAAAAAAAACAGAATCAGAAGCCATGCTGATGGAAGAATTCTGGAATTTCCAGTCCAAAGGTGTATCATAATACACTTTAACTACCATGTCTCAATGCTAGGGAATATATCGAGAGTTTTAGTTTTCTAGTTAGCCTTTTGTATTGAAGAGTGCAGGTGCCTCATCAAACTGCAATCCTACGATTCCACAGCATGGAACCATGGAAGTTAAAGTGGTACCAAACTGCATTAAAGCTATGGTGTAGATACAACCCATGCTGCAGAAGAAGGCAAGGGCAAACATTTTATGAACAAATCTTTGGGTGAAGATCCTCCACTGTTGACATATATTGATGTTTTAATGTTTGCATATTTACATATGTTTGCATCTTTGGATATTTTAAATTATGTGGTTATACTTTTAATTGTAAGCTGCTTTGAGTCTCCTTCGGGAGAGATAAAGCAGGGTATAAAATTTTTTAAAAGGCTGTTTGACTGCCATGATGCAATGCAATGGAACCCTGGGAGTTATAGTTTGGCGAGGCACCAGCACTCTTTGGCAAGGGTTTAATATCTTGGAGAACTACAACTTCCATGATTCCATAACACTGAGCCATGGCAGTCAATGGTAGGTGAAACTGCATTAATTCGACAGTGGATGCACCCTTTATTTGTCCTGGCTCAAGGCTATGGAATCCTGGGAGTTATAGTTTGATGAGGCACCAGCACTCTTTGGCAGGGGTTTAAGACCTTGGAGAACTACAACTCCCGTGATTCCATAACACTGAGCCATGGCAGTTGATGATAGACGAAACTGCATTAATTCTACAGTGTATGCACCCTTTAATTGCCGTGGCTCAAAGCTATGGAATCCTGGGAGTTGTAGTTTTGTTAGGCACCAGCACTCTTTGGCAGGAGTTTAAGCTCTTGGAAAACTACAACTCTCATGATTCCATAACACTGAGCCATGGCAGTTAATGGTAGTAAGTAAAACTGCATTAATTCTACAGTGTATGCACCCTTTAATTGCTGTGGCTCAAAGCTATGGAATCCTGGGAGTTGTAGTTTTGTTAGGCTCCAGCACTCTTTGGCAGGAGTTTAAGCCCTTGGAAAACGACAACTCCCATGATTCCATAACACTAAGCCATGGCAGTTAATGGTAGATGAAACTGCATTAATTCTACAGTGTATACACCCTTTATTTGCCATGGCACAGTGTTATGGAATCCTGGGAGTTGTAGTTTTGTTAGGCACCAGCACTCTTTGGCAGGAGTTTAAGCCCTTGGAAAACTACAACTCCCATGATTCCATAACACTGAGCCATGGCAGTTAATGGTAGTAAGTAAAACTGCATTAATTCTATAGTGGATGCAAACTTTAACTGCCCTGGCTGAAGGCTATGAAATCTTGGGAGCTGTAGTTTGGTGAGACGCGAGCACTCTTTGGCAGGGGTTTAAGACCTTGGAAAACTACAACTCCCATGATTCCATAACACTGAGCCATGGCAATTAATGGGTGCATACACTGTAGAATTAATTCAGTTTCACTTACCATTAACTGCTTAGTTTCTCAAGGTCTTAAACCCCTGCCAGAGAGTGCTGGTGCCTCACCAAACTATAATTCCCAGGATTCCATAGCCTTGAGCCAGGGCAATTAAAGGGTGCATTCACTGTAGAACTAATGCAGTTTCACTCACCATTAACTGTCATGGCTAAGTGTTATGGAATCACGGGAGTTGTAGTTTCCCAAGGTCTTAAACCCCTGCCAAAGAGTGCTGGGGCCTAACAAAACTACAACTCCCAGGATTCCATGGCAAATAAAGGGTGCATACACTGCAGATTGAATGCAGTTTCACCTACCATTAACTGCCATGGCTCAGTGTTATGGAATCATGGGAGTTGTGGTTTTCCAAGGTCTTAAACTCCTGCCAAAGAGTGCTGGGGCCTAACAAAACTGCATTATTTCTACAGTGATTGCATTCTTTAATTGCCATGGCTCAAGGCTATGGAATCCTGGGAGTTGTAGTTTCCCAAGGCCTTGAGCCTTAATTCTACAGTGATTTCACCCTTTAATTGCCATGGCTCAAGGCTATGGAATCCTGGGAGTTGTAGTTTCCCAAGGTCTCTGCCAATGATGGCTGTTGCCTCCCCAAACTACATCTCCCAGGATCCCATAGCCTTGAGCCATGGCACTCTGAAGTGGTGTCAAGCTGCATTCATTCTATCTACAGTGTCTGTCTCAAAAAGCAACACAACCAATCCTCTGAAACAGCGCTTTGGTGCCTCAAGGGTTAACACGCAGCCGGTCTACCCACATGCTAGCCCCGCCCCTGCTCCAACTCACTCTCCGATTGGTGGCGGCGGGGAGGCCCTCGGGTTCTCATTGGTCGAGGCCGTTGAACGCGTCAATCACCCAAGCAGGGCTAGGTTTCTCTTGCTGGAGGAAGGCAAACTTCCTTGGGATTGGGGCTCTGGGAAGGAATAGCTGTCGCCAGAGGTGGAAGCACATCTGGAAAGCCCCTTTTGCATTGGAGGGAACCACATCCTCAGAAGCAGGTGAGGGGTATCTGGGTTGGGGGGAGAGGGTACTGTCCCTTTAAGAGCTCCCCAACCATTGGGAGGGTGCTGTAGGAGAAAGGGGACCCACTAGGTCCATCACTATGGCTTTCAGACCCATTTGCATGGAGGGAAGCAGGACTGGAGAATTTTTGCAGTTTAGCATCATTTTTAAATGGCATTGCTCATGGCTTGAGAGATCATGGGAGTTGTAGTTTTGCAAGGTCTTGGGCCTTCTCTGCCAAAGAGAAAGTCATTGCTTATGTCGTGTGGGATCATGGGAGTTGTAGTTTTGCAAGGTCTTCTCTCTTCTCTGCCAAAGAGAAAGTCATTGCTTATATGTCTTGTGGGATCATGGGAGTTATAGTTTTGCAAGGTCTCCGGCCTTCTCTGCCAAAGAGAAAGTCATTGCTTATATGTATTGTGGGATCATGGGAGTTGTAGTTTTGCAAGGTCTTCGGCCTTCTCTGCCAAAGAGAAAGTCATTGCTTATATGTCTTGTGGGATAATGGGAGTTGTAGTTTTGCAAGGTCTTCAGCCTTCTCTGCCAAAGAGAAAGATGGGGCCTCACCAAACTACAATTCCCATGATTCCATAGCAGTCAGTCAACTCCGTAGTGCAAATGCACCCAAGGATTTGCCATAACTTGGGGGTGCAGCCATCCACACTGTATAATTAACGCAGTTTGGCACTATTTTGGTTCAGTGCTGTGGAGTAGTGGGATTTGTAGTTTGGGGGGGGGGGACTACTATTAAGCAGAGAAGGGGAAAAGACCATGTGAAACTACAACTCCCAGGACTCCAGAGCAGTTAAAGTGGTGCCAAACTTGCATTCATTCTACAATGGAGAGCTAACCTTTGCTCCTTTGGTCTGATTGTTTAGTGTAGGTTAACAACACTAAACAGTGAACTACAACTCCAAAACACAAGGTCAATGCCCACCAAACCCTTCCAGTATTTTCTGTTGGTCATGGGAGGTCTGTGTACCATAACTTGGGCCACCCACACTGTATAATTAACGCAGTTTGGCACCATTTTGGCTCCCTCGGCTCAGTACTGTGGAGTAGTGGGATTTGTAGTTTGGTGGGGGCCCACTATTAGGCAGAGAAGGGGAAAAGACCTTGTGAAACTACAACCCCCAGTACTCCAGAGCACCATTCATTCTACAGTGGAGAGCTTGCATTCATTCTACAGTGGAGAGCTAACCTTTGTTCCTTTGGTCTGGTTGTTTAGTGTAGATGAACTACACTGAATGGATGTAGGTGAACTACAACTCCAAAACTCAAGGTCAATGCCCACCAAACCCTTCCAGGATTTTCTGTTGGTCATGGGAGGTCTGTGTGCCAAGTTTGGTTCAATTCCATCGTTGTTGGAGTTCAGAATGCTCTTTGATTGTAGGTGAACTATAAATCCCAGCAACGACAACTCCCAAATGACAAAATCAATTCCTCCCCAACTCCTTTGCTCCTTTGGTCTGATTGTTTAGTACAGCATTTCTCAAACTGGGAGTCGGGAGCCTGGGGGGGTCGCGTGGGGGTTTCAGAGGAGTCACCAAAGACCATCAGATAACACAGTATTTTCTGTTGGTCATGGGAGTTCTGTGTGGGAAATTTGGCCCAATTCTATCATTGCTGGTGTTCAGAATGCTCTTTTCATTGTAGATGAACTATAAATCCCAGCAACTACAACTCCCAAATGTCAAGGTCTATTTTCCCCAAACTCTACCAGTGTTAACATTTGGATATATTGAGTATTCGTGCCAAGTTTGGTCCAGATCCATCATTGCTTGAGTCCACAGTGCTCGCTGGATGTAGGTGAACTACAACTCCAAAACTCAAGGTCAATGTCCACCAAACCCTTCCAGTATTTTCTGTTGGTCATGGGAGGTCTGTGTACCAAGTTTGCTTCAATTCCGTCATTGATGGAGTTCAGAATGCTCTTTGATTGTAGGTTAACTATAAATCCCAGCAACTACAACTCCCAAATGACAAAATCAATCTCCCTCCCAATCCCACCAGTATTCAAATTTGGGTGTATTGGGTATTTGTGCCAAATTTGGTCCAAATACATCCTTGCATATAAGATATTTACATAACAATTCATACCAGTAGCAAAATTACAGTTATGAAGTAGCAATGAAAATAATGTTATGTTTGGGGGTCACCACAACATGAGGAACTGTATTAAGGGGTCGCGGCATTAGGAAGGTTGAGGATCACTGGTTTAGTGCTTGTAGCCTCTTTCCTTATGTGGGTTTTTTTGGAATTTGCTTTGAAGACTCCTTTAATGTAACTAACAGGCAAAATAAGACTTGTGGGTTGAGGGTTTCATTTTGGCCCTTTCACTTTCTCTTGTTTTCAAACTCTGCAATGCTGGAGCAATAGGGCTTTCTCCTGAACCAATTCTGTGTTGTCCAATTCTGAAAGATGGAAAGGATACAAAGTTTGGTTCCAGGACCCCTATGGATACTGACATCTGGGTATGCTCAAGTCCCATGATATAAAATGGCATTGCAAAATGTTGCCTGTTATATAAAAAAGGGCTAAATCAAAGGGTTGTTGTGAGTTTTCTGGGCTGTATGGTCATGTTCCAGAAGCATTCTCTCCTGACGTTTCACCTGCATCTATGGCAGGCATCCTCAGAGGTTGTGAGGTCTATTGGAAACTTGGAAAATTGGGTTTATATTTCTGTGGATTCCTAGTTTCCAACAGATCTCACAACCCCTGAGGATGCTTGCCATAGATGCAGGTGAAACTTCAGGAGAGAATGCCTCTAGAACAGTGGTTCTCAACCTGGGGTCCCCAGATGTTTTTGGCCTTCAACTCCCAGAAATCCCAACAGCTGGTAAACTGGCTGGGATTTCTGGGAGTTGTAGGCCAAAAACGTCTGGGGACCTCAGGTTGAGAACCACTGCTCTAGAACATGGCCATATAGCCCCCAAAAAACCTACAACAACCCAGACCTCACAACTTCTGAGGGTGCCTGCCATAGATGCAGGCAAAAGGTAAGGAGAGAATGCTTCTGGAACATGGCCATACAGTCCAGAAAACTCACAACAACCCAGTGTTTCTGGCCATGAAAGCTTTTGACTAAATCCAAGGCTTGCTTTTGGGATTTTTTGAAAAACATTTTCAAGCTTTGGATAATGGAACCCAATAATGTCATATCTGTGGATACAGAGGGCCGACTGTACTTGAAAGCACTCGCTATATTCTAGAATTAATATAGTTTGACCAGACTGTAACTCAGTGGTTCCCAACCTTTTTTTGACCAGGGACCACATTGACCAGGAACCACTCTCCAATGTTCGTACCAAAAGGGTTACGAATCAATTTTTGCTCAACTTTAGATCTGGATTGGTTATTTGGGGTGCTGATTCAGAAAATTACATTGCATAGACCACATCAGCTCCAGTTTCTGATACAGAACATATGCCATCCAGTAGTATGCCATCCATCTGCTCTCCCACGAAAACCATATTTAATAAGCCTTGGCACTGTAAGAGAGTTTCGCAAGACTAATAATAATAATAATAATAATAATAATAATAATAATAATAATAATATTGTCAAAGGCTTTCATGGCTGGAATCACTGGGTTGTTGTAGGTTTTTTTCGGGCTATATGGCTATAGGAGAAAATGCGTTTAGAACATGGCCATATAGCCCAAAAAAACCTACAACAACCCAATAATAATACTACTAATAATAATTTTTATTTATACCCCGCCACCATCTCCCCAATGGGGACTCGGAGCAGCTTACATGGGGCCAAGTCCAGACAACATATTACAATAAAATAAAAACCAAGGCATAACATCAAAACAACATCAACAAAATTACCTAGGAAAAAAGAAAACAATATAAACACAATACTAAAATAACATTTCAATAACATTTTACTAGTCACTCTCATTGCAATGGTGTAGTAACGGTGCAGACCATATTTTAGTTCTTGCAGACCACTGGTGTTCCATGGACCACAAGTTGGGAGCCACTGCTGCAACTGCTTTGGCTCAATGCTATGGAATAGTGGGAGTTGTAGTTTTACAAGTTCTTTAGATCTCTTTGCCAAAGAGTGCTGGTGTCTCACCAAAGGACAGGTCCTAAGATTCCCTATCATGGAACCATGGCAGTTAAAGTATCAAAATGCATTAGCTCTTACCGTGTAGATCAGGTATGGGCAAACTTTGGCCCTCCAGGTGTTTTGGACTTCAACTCCCACAATTCCTAACAGCCGGTAGGTGTAGATGCACCCCTGACCACTCTAAGCAGGGATGGGAGACTGCCAAAGAATACCAGCTGCTGTAGGCTATGTTTTAGATGAAGGAACTGGCAACACCAAATCTGAGTATTCCTCGCCTAAGAAAACCCTATGAAAGCAATGGGGTTGCCATAAGCCAACCGGAAACTTGAAGGCACATAGATATCCACAAAGGAACCAATGAATTTGAGATATGCTTTTTTGGTATAGGTAGAATCAAATTCTTCCTATCTCCCTTTTCTCTGGTTCTTATCTCTTGAATAATGGGTATTCATTACCCATTTGGCACAATTAGATTTCCTTTCCTTTGAATGGGCCTTGCACAGGAGAAGTTTATGCCCACGGTGTCTTGGGAAAGCAAAAGTTGCCTTTCAAAGATTGAATGAAAACTCATTAAATTACACAAAGATCTGGATCCAGAATCTATTGCTTCTGTAATTATTATTATAAGAAATCCAAAATGAACAGGAAAAGTCAGAGAGTATTGTATTAAATGATATTAGGGGCGAGAATGCTATTTGAACAACATTGGGAAAAAGGCAGAAATGCCTACAGTACAATAATGGATCTTAAAATATAGTTAAATTAGCTGAAATGGTCAAGTTTGCAGTGATGATTGAATAAATAAAATCCCAACAGAGGTTTATAAAAGACTGGGAACCATTTCTTAAATTTATATAAAAAAGAGTGTGATGGGAAAAATGGTGGGTATGGCTTTTGAAACTTAAGCAGGATCACA